GCCAGCGGCGCTTGGGCGAGGGGCCTCCAGCTCTCAGCCGGAGCGCCACTGGCGGCTACCTTGGAGCAGGCGGTGAGGGGCAGTGGCCTGGCACTGGCCCAGCGCAGTTGGGAGCCATTGCTGAGCCCGGGAGGGCCGGAGGGCCCTGGCACCTGCCGGCCCTGGCACCTGCCGGCCCGGCACCTGCTCCTCACTGCTGGCTGCTGACGGAAGCCGCCGAGAGTCGCCCCCTGCTGCTCACCTGCGGGAGGTGCAGGCCGGGGCCTCCCGGCGCCGTCTCACTGGCCTGCAGCCTGGACTTTGGGGCCTCTGTGAGGACCACGTTGGGGCCCACCACCAGGAGGCCCTTCCCTTCTGGGTTCACAACGGATTTCTCGTAAGGGTGGCAGAGCCCCGGTGGCCCGGGAAGGCCTGGGGAAGAGCAGCGGCGGCCCTTCATTCTGTGTCTTCAGGCGGAAGAACCCAGAGCCCCAGGCCTGGTGGGCAGGACCAGGGCAGGGAGAGGCGGAGGCCGGCAGTCGGCGCCCGGGCCACGGAGGCCCCGTGGCAGGGAGGCGGCCTGGGCTTTCTGGGTGTCGCACCCCTGGTCTCCAGGACCTGTGGCACCCACCGGTGGGCTGCTTTCTGCTGCGTCTGTGGGCTGTTTTGTGTGCAGGTGTCCGGTAGTGCTGGCCCATGGACTGCAGCTGCGCGTCCCCAGGACCTGCCGGCCCTGGCCGTGGCCTGGGGGTTGCCGGCGTCCGGGCGTGGCGACAGGCTGCCATCTGCAGGTGCCTGTGGACGGGCCTGGCCACCCTCACGCTCACCCCGAACTGCCTTCTTGGGGTGCTTGACCAGAGCCCTGCTGGGCTGATGACTTGGGGGTCTGTGAGGCCCATGAACCCTTCACTGTGGCTTTAAACTCCGTGAGCAGAACCACTGTCGGCCCATCTGCTGGGTGTGGGTGCAGCCGCCGGGGCCACCCCACCTCCGACGCCGTGGCCGTCGCCCTCCGCCCCCAGGCCGCAG